AAATAAAGTATATACACTGTTAAAAAAATTGCAATACACTTAGAAATTAGGGTTGCAGAAATCTGGAAATTATTTATACATTTTTCAGGCCACTCTGAGGAAAAAATAAGCATTTTTAACGAAATTTCAATAATTTTTTTCTTTCCAACATCCCAAACGATACATGCAAATTTCAGATTTCGATTTTTCAGGTGTTTTGCAATTCTTTTTTTACGAACAGCGTGAAAATCGAGGGAAAAGTAAATTTTCTTTTTGTCACACGAGAACACATATAGAACGTCGCTATTCTATCTAACCCTAATTTGATTGAATGTATCGTTTGCTAAGAATATCGCCGTTTCATGTATTACACTAATGAGTACAACGTGATCCCTGCATGACAGTGTTCTTTTCTTCTTTCGTTTAATGTGAGACTTTGTGTATCGTGAAGATCGATCGAGAATGAAATCTGAAACACCCTAATTATCGAGCCATTATTTGTTATCTGAGTGTAACACGCTAATGTTGAATACAAAAGAAAAATAATGAAACAAATTTCAAATTATTCCACAACCTGACTTTTACGAAACTGTTTGGAAAAATCTTTTTCCGAGTCACGCGGTGATGAAAAGTAGGGAAACGATGAAATTTCATATCAACGACTATTAACATAATTTCATATTAAACAAATAGAAAAATATTTACACATATTATGTACACTTGGAGATTTCTAATTATTTTCTATAGAAAGCACCCTCAGGTCAATGTTTTTTACAGCTAATTTTCCCTCGTTGCTTTTCTTTCCTCCGTTCTTACGCTTATGATCAATCAATTCGAGAGAGAGAGAGAAAAGAAGAAGATATCGAATAAATCGGTAAAACATTGATAATTGGAGAAAAAAGTATGTATATATATATATATAGATATATTTACAGTACACATAATATAAAACATAAATTCATTCCACTACATCCGTATAATCCGGTAACATGTTACACATCCTCTAATCGATGTATTTCAAACGTATATTTTATACAATAGACACTTACGGCAGGAATACTCACGCGCCAGGACTTCTTTTCGACGTACTTGTACACCGATGATGGCCTCCATTGGAACTTCCGTACGTGGAATGCTGACTGCGTGCGGTGGTAAGTAGATTGGTTCCAAGTTCCCAAAGGTGCATTCTTGTGGGATATTTTTGTAACAGTAAGAGTGCAACTGTAACCAGATAATTGTCGGATCAAATGTTAACCATTGAATTGGAAGGATATCGTCACTATGCACGAGTTTCTTCTACCAAGGATAATATTTTGGATTTTGAAAATAGAATTTATCTATATCTATGGTAAGATAAGTGGAGGTTCCTTCGAAATTTCCTTCTTGAGAAATAACGTATGCGATATAAAATTGTGGTAAATTGTAATTTGGGATTAATTTTAGAATTTAGCGATGTCTGTTGCGAGATAAATAGAGATTCCTTCGGAATTTTGCTTTTCGAAAAATAGTAAAATAAATTTCTCAACTTGGTCACCTATTTAAATAACAGAAATTAATTTAACACCGACAACAATAGTAGTTTTCTTTATCTCTGCATTGCAAGAAATTTCCTAATGGAAAATATCTTTGGCGTTCCACAGAAAAATGAAACATATAACTAATATTCTCAACAATTTTCAAGAAAACACTTTAAACTCGCACATCACGATTAATTATTCCATCTTACAATAAATTTGTACCAAATTTACTACAAGAGCAAGTCAACTTCGACAACATTCCATCTTCTCTCTGATTAAGCCGACTAATTAATGTTCAACAGCCGAACAATTTTCTTCTTCTCAGCTCTGCATTCGAAGATGAACAACCGCGACAATTTTAGACGATGCAGAGTTAAAGCACAGCGAGTGAGAAAAAGAAAATGTCGTTTATTTATAACCGTCTGGCAACTGTCTGGAAAGTTTCGTGTGCTAGAATGATAGATTCGATTTTGGATAGTGTTGAAGAAGAAAAAGGAGGAAGAAACATTACCGTCATGCCGCACCACTCGCAACGGAACCCGGAAAGGCACTCGGCAGAGAAACAATTTTTCTTGCAGACAGCGCATTTCGAACTGTTGGGAAGATTGCCTTCTCGCCAGTGATGAGTGTGTTTTACCTGCGCCAAGTCCTTCCCAGGTAAATACGTCGCGTTCTCCTTGCAGTCTGCCACGGCGAAATCCTGGCACTCCGTGTGCACGAAGTACTCGCATACTGAAATCAGAAATACCGTCGATTATTATCCATTCTGGAGAAAAAAAAAAATAACAGGAAAATTCCGAAAATTTTATTCATTTTATCGTATATTGTAATGCATCGAATAAAATCTGAAAAGCGTTATTTGTTTTCGATCGTTACGTGCTCACGGAGAAAGATTTGTATTAAATCTATATTTTCAAACAAGCTGTACAAATTTACAAAGTCTACTTGTATCTACAGATGGTAAATTGAACCTTGGGAAAATAAATAAATAAAAAAAAAAGAAAATTTGTAATCTGTAAGCACGATCCCTTTTTCAAATATATAAATCGCAGTGGAAAAGGTTAAATGCCAGGGTAATAGTGGTATCGATGGTTTCGAAGTGTAAAAGTCGTGCTAATAACACTCTCTTGATTAAATTTTTACGAAAATATAATTTTTCTGGTATTGTTAGCTGTCTCTTCTTTGGCAGTGCAAATAAATGAATAATTTGAAAGTAAATAAATAATCTCACGATAAATCTTCAAATAAACGAATAATTTTCAATAAAAATAAACCAAATAATCATCTACAAGGGTGGAATTTACTGCTTCTATAAATAAATAATTATTGGAAGGTTTTATGCATATAGAAGGTAATTTGGAAAGAAGAAATTCATTGAAAAAAAGAAATTACAATCTTAGTCATTTTGTTAAAAGTTACTCGAACCTGAGTTTTCTTCTTTACTTACCACCAATTAACAGAAGAAAACATTAAATACCACACCACTATCAAATGAACGATATTATCGCTAAAAGTGAAATGATACAAAAAGTAGAAACTTACTTTCGCAGTGTATGGATATATTATCATCGAACCGTTTACGACAGACGTTGCAGAATTTTCTTTTACAATATGCCTGTTCGGACCAACAGTGTGCAACCGGGTTCTGCAACAAGGAAACACTTTATTTCTCTTTCCATAAGTGCAACATAACTTCTCTCTATTTCATTCCTTCTCGAAACAACCAAACAATCTTTCTTCAATTTCTCTTCATTGTAAAATAACAAGCATACGAATAATTTACCATTTAATTCGAAAAAGAGGGAAACACTTTATTTCTTCTCCTACAAGTGAAGACTTCTCTTTATTTTATTTCTTCTCGAAATAACTAAACAATTTTTCTTCAATTTCTCTTCAGTCAAATAATTCTAGCATACAAATGATTTACCATTTAATTCTGAAAACAGGGAAACACTTTATTTCTTCTCCTACAAGTGAAGACTTCTCTTTATTTTATTTCTTCTCGAAATAACTAAACAATTTTTCTTCAATTTCTCTTCAGTCAAATAATTCTAGCATACAAATGATTTACCATTTAATTCTGAAAACAGGGAAACACTTTATTTCTTCTCCTACAAGTGAAGACTTCTCTTTATTTTATTTCTTCTCGAAATAACTAAACAATTTTTCTTCAATTTCTCTTCAGTCAAATAATTCTAGCATACAAATAATTTACCATTTAATTCTGAAAACAGGGAAACACTTTATTTCTTCTCCTACAAGTGAAGACTTCTCTTTATTTTATTTCTTCTCGAAATAACTAAACAATTTTTCTTCAATTTCTCTTCAGTCAAATAATTCTAGCATACAAATAATTTACCATTTAATTCTGAAAACAGGGAAACACTTTATTTCTTCTCCTACAAGTGAAGACTTCTCTTTATTTTATTTCTTCTCGAAATAACTAAACAATTTTTCTTCAATTTCTCTTCGTTAAAAAATATCCATCACAGAAATAATTGATCTAAAAACAGCCAATCTCATTGTTAGCCAAAATGGCCATTTTACAGAAGAAGAAGAAAAAGAAGAAGAGGAGGAGGAAGTCGCGGCGAGTGTGTTGAAACATTAAAAATGAATCTATTTAAAATATGATCTGCTGTCGTTTAACAACACCAGCTCGGTTGACGAAGTTTCACTGGGTTGCGAGTCGAAAGTTTCGACGCAGCACACGACAGTATGCAACCGAGTATTTTCAGCAGCGCGTAAATATAGGTCGCGGGGAAGAATTCACTCATCTCCGGTCACACAAAAGGGGCAAGAACAGAAACCGAGGGTATTCTTACCTTAATGAGGCTTGCCGTGATGCTGGAGCAGGGAGAGACGACGGCCTTGAGACAGCGGTCGTGCACCACGAAGTTGCAAACTGTAACACGAAACAACCAGAAATGGAGACTTCACCGAAGAAGAAGAAGAAGAGGAGGAGGAAGTCGCGGCGAGTGTGTTGAAACATTAAAAATGAATCTATTTAAAATATGATCTGCTGTCGTTTAACAACACCAGCTCGGTTGACGAAGTTTCACTGGGTTGCGAGTCGAAAGTTTCGACGCAGCACACGACAGTATGCAACCGAGTATTTTCAGCAGCGCGTAAATATAGGTCGCGGGGAAGAATTCACTCATCTCCGGTCACACAAAAGGGGCAAGAACAGAAACCGAGGGTATTCTTACCTTAATGAGGCTTGCCGTGATGCTGGAGCAGGGAGAGACGACGGCCTTGAGACAGCGGTCGTGCACCACGAAGTTGCAAACTGTAACACGAAACAACCAGAAATGGAGACTTCACCGTGTAATTTAATGCAATCGTTGACAGGTTAAGAATAAACCAGACCCTATCCTTCTTCTCTCGTTTCCTTTTCTTCCCTTAATTATCGCAAGCAATTCGAATAAATAGAAAGGTACAATGGAGGTTTGTCACGAGTAGGTTTGTGAACGGTCGTGTAAATTTATGCCTTTTCTCTATCCTGAGACTTCCTTTTCATTATCGCGATAATGCTTCTTTAACATTGCTTTGCCATTTGTAAGTTGCTTTTCAAATTCGATTGTAATTACTGTACAATAGTAATTACGGTGATATACTCTCAAGATTTTCTTATTTGCGTTTGTTACAATTGATAATAATCGAACGCGTTTTCTGATTTTAGAATTTTAGAATTATAAAATTTAGAAGATTCTCGATTCTGTTTCATGGAGGAACATGATTTCCTATACTTTGTTACAAATTTCTCTAAAAAGAATTATTTTTCAAATTTCCAAAATTTAATCCTTGAAATTTTCGATCCCTAAAAGACGCTCCACGTGAAAAAGGTTTATTCAAGATTCAACATTTAGCAGAGCTTGTCGTTACAAATGTTGACATAGGAAAAGTGAGAAGAAGATTTAGAAATATTAATTTTACAAGAATATCACAAATGATTGTATGGAATTGTCAAAAGACACTATTGTAACTAAAATGGGACACTATTTTGGGAAGAAACTATGACATTTTGGGTGATATTTTGCTAGCTGAAAATATCCACGATAGATGGACAAAATAAGCGTCATCAATTTACAATGGTTAATGTAAAACAAATAATTACAGTTTACTAGAATTTAAATCATTGGGTGACTGCCAATGCCTTGATACATTTTGAACAAATACCATTCAATTCCCACTGTTATGTACGCCCATTGTGTCAAATATAGTTTTATTATATACCATTGGAAACAGGATATTTCAAATTGTGGTGAAAATGTACAAAGGATCACTTATGATCACCTTTTCGAGAATTACGAGGAATTCAAGAAATTACATTTAAAATTTAATTGCAAGAGAAGAATTAAATTTAATTTCCTGTTTAGTCGTTTAAATCCTAAAATAGACATTCAAAGATATTTGAAATCTCTTTTAAAGATATTTAATTTAGATATTTAAGAACTTAAATTTAAAAATATCTTAAAATATTTAAATTTAAATTCTTAAATATCTGAAATTCTTTAAATTATCAAATATCTAAGATATCAATGATCAAAAACGAATAAGAAAAATTTACACCATCGACTCCTTGAATTGTATAATAAAGTTTAAGTATTACAGGCGTATTCCGTGAAAAATGAAGCTATATCGGTGATAAAGTTAATTAAAAAATTCATAGAAAATAACCTGTGTATAAGATTAGCGTGAAGTAACGATTTGCAAGATTTGGATGTGATGAATTTGACCTATTGGTGAAACCGAAGTCTGGCTCATCGCCCAAATGAGATTGATGATAATCCATTACGCAATTTCATGGGGACAAATTTACAGATATTGCAAAACAAATATTGGTTATAGTAAAAATTACACCATTTATTGAATAAATAATTTCGTTTATCCAGAGGTTAAACGATACCTGACAAAGATGGTATTCAAAATTTCTCTTAAATCATGTACAAGCACCGGAGTATTTAATTTTCCATCGTTAACCATGGTAAAAAATTGTTCACTCGTGTAAACTTCAATTATTTCCCTCATCACGTACGCAAAAATTGAAATTAAACGATTCTACAAAACGATATTGTATAAATAAGAGGAGAGAATTTTTGTTTGCTGCATTAATCAGCGATAAGTGAAAAAATTGCACAAGGGAAATTGTTAACCAAAATGTATATAGCGCTCATTAATTTCCGGCGAACTGTGAAAAAATCTGTTTTACTCATTTTAAACCCTTGAATCAGAGCGTGAAATCCTCCACCACTTTTAAACCTAACAGGGACTAAGCGTGTGAATGTATTAATGTCGATGAACAAAATTGATCCTTAATTCTTTATTAAATAATTCGTACTAATTTTCTTGAAATTTAAACACACAAAATACTGCGAGAGCAAAACGAAACACTTGGGTACACGAAATATTGATCATACTTACAAAAACTGTATTTCTAAATAAAAACATACTTGATTATTTTTTGTATTGTAATTTTTCTGTTCACTATTTTCAAAATTGGAGGAAACGAAATAATTTTCCAATATTTTCCAACCGATATTATCTCGATAGGCATATATCATAATTGAACATTTCATCAATACGAACCGTGACATTATTAAATTCATCGTTGCTTTTACTTTACTGTTATTTCTGACGCGAATATCGATTTATTGACTCTTAACATGTTATTTACGAACCCTTTAGTTTCCACTAATATTAATAGCAGATATGAGTTGCAAAACCTTTTAGAACATGTATCGGTCCGCGTCGATGTTCCATTAAACGTACTATTACATAGTGCTGATCGGAAAATGTAATTTTATAATAAGGACGCGTTGTTCTCGTCAACTTCCATTAACATTTCAGTTTCTAAATGTCTCATTAATCTTACGTATCCTTTAACTGAAAATAATTCTCAGAGAAACAGGACCTTTTGTAGATAAGAAAATTACGCGCATTCACGTTCATCGATATTCCTTTTAATTCCATAAATTAGTACACACTACTAAACTAACAGTGATTTTAATTCTTTTGAAAAATAAGAAATTTAATCCTAGAGCGGTCTTCGTTTCGACTGTACACTTAAGACTTTTGGGTGAAAAAGGACCTAAGACCTTATGTGCAATCATTTTTATTTCCAACGCGACATACGAACCTGGACAATAAACGTTTAAAATAATGTTAAGGAACGTAAACTTGATAACTAAAAATATAAAAAGGCGGCGGGTCAAAAAAGACCCGAAGACCGCTCTAGGGTTAAAAATTGGAAATAAGAAGAAGAGAAATTTTCAGTGATAACTTATAGTAAGTGCACATTATGACTAAAATATTTTTATTCGTCAAGTAATTTCATTTTTGTGTTATTAACATAAGAATTTCAGATCAATTAAAACAGCTGATTTTGAAAATACTTATTTTCACGCTGTTTTACCTGACTTTACAGAAAAACAGTTTATAAAATACTATTTAAAATATACGTGAACATTTTGATACTTTAGAATTGTAAACCTAAAAATTCTACTATGTCAATTGTACACGACTATTTGCATACGAAAGTGCATTTGATCTATTCTCCAAAGTTCGAACACCCGATCTACTATTTACGACAGTTTTCAAATCTATCTAACCACGATAGCGAAGAAGTTTTCAACGAATGTTCACTATCAACTCGCATTGTGATTCCCTGTATCGTGGCTCGCTGTGCTTCCATTGAATTCTCAAGTTTACGATCTGTTTGTTACCTTCTCTCGACAATAACCAACGCTCGAATACATTGAGGAAATGTGCCCGAACGTATGCACTTTTCATAACACAACACTCGGTCAAAGGATACGAAAATACAACTATAGTTAGCGACTCTGTTTACCTGTTCTACTTATCCTATAAATTCGAATCGCTGATAAGTAGGTAAAAACACTTGTCAGACAGATATTACAAATTACGATAACAATTTTTCATTTAAATTCACGTTCGTGAATTATTACTCAATATTGTTTGTTGAATGTCCAGAAAATTACAGGGAATATTATTTTATTAATTATATTGCTGCATATTGTACTATAATTATTTCAGAATTTTGATTTCTCACAAAGTTACGATGAACATGGATCATAAAGCTACCGTTTCTTATTGAATATCCAGAAAACTATATTGCCGCATACTGTATCATTATTATTTTAGAATTCTAATTTCTCACAAAGCTAAGATTTTTACAACATAATAATTTCTCTGTTGCAGGATTTAGTATAATTTCACTGATGCACCAAGTTCACACGTTACACTTAAATTTCAGATAGGTAATCGTTGCGCTATTACATCTTATCGATATTCGCGTTTCACGAAAGAAGCTACTTTTCCTGGAAACTTGCGAAGCTTAACCGTGACGTGAATTCGAGTTATTTTTAAATGAGCATCTTAATGTAAAGAACATTATCGCATTAGTTTTGCTTGGGAAAAACCTTAACGTGAAACGATGCACGCGTGAAATATTCATTTGGCGGTTTGTTTGAAATAGTTAGGGGGACATTTGGAAAATTTTAATCATGGGTCGGGTAATCAACGAAACAGGTGAAACCGACATAACGAGGTAGAACGTATACAGGTCCCGGTGGCCGTACGCTATATTTCCGGTTTGCTAAAAATAAAATCCAGCCTTGAAGACACGTTCTGTTATTCTACAGTTTTCTTCATAAGTTTTCTTTATAAATTTCTTTTCGCCGCCGCGAGGTGAACGACTATTAATAAGTTGAGCGACATTGCTCGAAATTCTTCAGGCCTACAGAATTCGTCTTACGAAAATGAACCGACAGGATGGAGAAAGCAAATCTGTGGAAGAGTGATCGTCGAAATTTTCGAAATCGTGGAAATACAGTGGAAAAGTGGAATTTTAATTCCCTTTGTTAAAATGAGAATCTGTCGTTGTCAACAGTCTGCTGTTTTATTAATCACCCATCACTTCTTCCACGAGAATAGCTTTAACATTCAACGAAAGGAGAAAATCTGTCGAAGAGTAATTTTCAAAATTTCGAGTCCTAAAAGTGCACTCGAAGAGTAGAGTTTCTATCATCGTCGAAATTCTCCAGTATACCCAATCCGCCAAAAATAATTACAACATTGAAACAACATCCCCCACATTTTCCCCAGTTCGTTCACCGAGCCTGATAATTTACCGTTCCAAGGATCAATCTTCGACTTTTCTTAAAGCAAACGAAGAAATCCAGATCGCACCGCGTTCCTAACAACGGCCAACCGAAGATCTATCGAAATCCGTGAAATCGGTCGATCAGATCTCGCCTCGAGATCCCGCGAATGCTAAAATTAAGATATCGGGTCCAAAGAGTATTCCGAATTGTTTGCGCAATCTTTCCATCATTACGCGGTATATCTTCGGTTCCTTCCGAAGAAATCAGACGAATAGGGGAAGAAACCAACGAAAGCAGAGAAAGAAAGAAAATTGCAGGAGGATTTTCCGTGGAACATCCTCGTCGTTTCATGTGTATTCTAGGAATCGGAAAGCTCGGATGGCGTTGGCGTGCACAAGTATCGACACAGACACAGTGTAACGCGCGTCGATACGCTTTGCGTGCTCCAGATATTCCGGATCGACGATTCCCTAAACGCACACCGGAGGAGACCGCACACACAGTGGCAAGGCTCTTTAAAAGCGACATTCCTGATCGATCCTGATCCCATCTTGAATTCCGTCTCTGGCCTGTGTCTCTAATTGCCGCGGTAAAACTGACCACATTGCTTGCACTATCCGCTACGCCTTGCCCGTTTCTCTTGTTGTTCGATGCTTGTTGATACGTTGAAACACTTCGCGTTCAACGTTCCAACTCGGGGGAAGAATGATGACTGTGGAGTATCTGTGTTCGACTAGTCGAGGGCACTTGTATTTAAAGTAGCTGCTTTATGATGTACGTTGGATAGTGGTAGTGTATGAAGTAGGTGTTTTCAAGTGTAGATAGAGCTTTAAGATGCAGTTATTGCTGCAGATAAATTATTACAACTGTTGATCAAATGCTTTAGCCATAGACCAATTTGTGCTATTGCCTCGGTGGAATGTGAGTGAATTTTTTCTGAATTTTTCCTTGTCATTTTATTCGCTTACTTTTCTTTTAGCGATTCGTTATCAGTGAAGTTCTTTAAATACTAATTTACATCGCTTGTGCGATTATTAGAGACGAGAATTGTGAAGACAAGTAGTCTGAGGAGTGATTAGATGATACTGAGTGCTTCTTTTTTTAGAATTCTAATGTTCACGGTGATAAATTACTTTTTTTTATAGTTTCATTCGATTTATGTTTATACCGACAACTTGAAGTATTTGGAACACTCGTTGTTTAATTTGGTAAGATGATATTGTAACAATTTCAAGCTTCAATGCATAACGTAAGACAACTCACGCTTAAACATTGTTATCCACTTGATTTTTATCAAAATTAACATAACACACATTTGTATGCGTCCTTAAAATTACAACAACCATAATTCATCAAAAGAAATAACCTCGACAAATCCTAATCGACAGAAGAACAGTGTAACCCAAAAAACAACTTTCTCACATCCAAGTTAAATTAACCCTTTCGTTGCTACTGGCGCCTAAAGGCGTTTATAAAACGTGCCTTTTGGGTACACTTCTATCTCAATTCAATACTTAATTTCCTCCTTCACGCACTTCCCTCGTTAATCTAATAAACCGAATTTCAAAACGACATGTCCAAGACAAGAAATTTTGCCACGTTACAAATTCAAATCTGTCGTAGCGAAAGGGTTAAACCGCTGCTACCTTTAATTCCCATTTCCCTGAAAAGAAGAAAAAGTGTCTCCTCGTCGTACCAGGAGGTACCAAGGAAAATTCCATCGAATTACACGACTCCGAACTTGAAACAGCTCCGTCTCCCGTTTCTCGTTCATTCCCTGTCACCAGGACCCATGAATCGAACCAACTGTTCTCGATTAAACAATACAAAGTTCCAAAGTGCCCGTGGATGCTTACCCTTTACGGGCCTCCGCTCGTCAACGAGCTCTTTCTCTCGTACACGCCCCCACACCCCTCAGCCCTAGCTAACCCTCTCATCGTCTACCCCTTCCTCTTGCTCTCTCTCCAGAGTCTATCAGCTATCCCACACCACCCCCCACGATCAATGCTTGTGAAAAGGCTCGATGCGCGCGCCCTCGCCTCCGTGCCAGCTCGATTTCCCTCGACCGTCGAGCCTGCTGGAATTTCCACGGGTCACCCCGAAGGAGGAGAGCCTTTGGACCTCGTTCACAAACCATCTTCCACGTAGAAACGAAGAAACACCCTGATAATCGTCGTACACCACGATTCTTCCTCCCCTATTCTCTTCCTCTTCATCGTCGTCTTCTTCTTCTTCTTCTGCATCATCTTCTCCTCTCCTTATTCTTCGCTATGCTCCGTATTGCAAGGGGTAAACACTCGAGGCAGGAGTGTGCGCAAATCGCGACAGGGTGGGAAATGTGGCGCCCCGTTATCGGCCTTCAAAGATGGTGGGTTGCGCCACGGAGAATCCCCGTGCACGAGGAAGCAATTATGGATTCCCATGGATGTTCTCTCACTTGGTGTAGAATTTCACAGAGAATAGAGGAAATTTGTTGGATGATTGTACGAGGTCCTTTTTTTAGAAATTTTCCAAATGTAGAGACAGTTAGGATGGAGGAGGTGTTGTTTGACCAAGTATTTCTAGGTCCGATGGGTAATTTGGAAATTGGACGTTTCGCGTGACCTGGTTCTCGAACATATGCGACAGGCAATCGAGTGAATCTGAAGTAACGTCGAGTATAGTGTATATACTTGTTTCGAGACAATTTCGTTGAGTTTTCCGAAGATCGGGGAGAACTCGAAACGAAAGTGTCGAATTGATCGGTGGTTTGGTTTGTTGAATATCGGGAAAGTGGAAAGTTCGTTCAGGCGAGTTTCGACGTTCGATTAAAGTCAGAGGGAATTAGCAGCGAACGATCTTCTATATGAACGTGCTACCCTCTGTACACACGGTGAATGGGCACTTGCCATTCATCATTCTTGGAGGTCAGCCAGCTCCCAACTTCGCACGCTGACCAAGGTTTCGGAGCCCGTGAAAAGGCGGGACGAGCATACTCCGGCGGCAACGCGCCGCGTATTCGATTTCGTTACCGAACGCGCTCATATCGATCGGTCCTCTCTGCCTTGCGGTTTCTCCGTGAAAACTTGCCCCGCATTCTGACACCGTTCAGGGACTTCTATCGAGCCGCGTAAAAATCATTGAAAAACACTATTCTTCCAGAAACATTCCCCCGTTTTTCGCCGAATCACTTTTTCCACGATCCCCTAAAACTTGAACCAAAAAGAAACGAAAAAAACCTTACTATACAACAGGAACTGTATAAAATCTAAAGAAACTCGATCGTTTCGTACAATTCGAGAGAATGAATGCGCAGGTTTCCATCAAACTGGACCACCTTTGTTCACCCTCGTCGTATCTCCGTAGCTTATCCGTAAACCTTATCAGATTGTTCGTTCCTTCAAATACAATTGCAAATTACCGAATTTTCTCCTATCTAATCACCTTCTACGTAGGTATCTAGCGACTAGACAGATATAAAAGAATTTGGGGTAGCAACTGGGAATTGGGTGGCAGAAGAGTAGGCACTTACCTTCGCAGATGTACCCCTGCCTGAGGCTCCACAGCTTGTCGGTGCAGCTATGGCAGTGCGTCGGCTTGTGAAACGTCTTCTTGCTGAAGCTGTGCCCATGGCTGGCTGGAGTCTCAGCCGAGACCGACGCCATGTTCCCCGTTCCACCGCGGCACCGCTCACGCCAGATTTTCACCGTGAAGCTACACAGGGCGCGCCGCGCGTCGATGACAACATAATTACACGGCAGCCACTACGTGATCTCGAAACCGTACGCGTACATAATTGCGTAGCTGCAGCTGCACTCGCGGCTGGCTGCTCGGGTCCCTCACGTCGTACCGTCGTCCTCGTCGTCGCGTAACGTGCCTAACGCGCATTATTATCGAAGCTGCGCCCCCAAGACCGACCGACCGACCGGCACGGCACCGTACGCGACACCGAGATTGCGTTTGATCGTACACCAGTCAGCAGTCACCACTGTTTCGCGGCTGACCATCACCGTCATCAGCCGCTGCTACTGCCGCCTCCGCCTCCGCCGGGAGCTTCACTCGCGGTACGACGACGACGATGCGGGTGTCGCGTTCGCGCATCCGAGCCACGGAGCGGGCGCCGGCATCAGCCCCTTCGTCACCACTGCCGTCCAGTGCCGGAATCATGCACACAGGCCAGCTGGGGGCTTTTAAGAGAGGGAGCGTTATCTTTTTTCGCGCTACCTCTCTCCGATATTTCTTCGGCAATTCTTTCCCTCACCCGACCTCCCACCCTCGCCTAGTCTCTCCCTGTCTCTCCCTCGTTTATCAACGTTCCTTCTATCGATAATCGTTCTTTCCCCGTTGGAACTTCAACTCGGAGATATTTCTAATCCACTGAACACACGAGAAACATTACAAAGATCATAATTGTCAAGTGATTCGAATTTCTTTTTTAAACAAAGACATGATTCTCGATCTTCCGATTAATCTCATAATAGTCCATGAATGCACGAACGTCCATTGAAAATGTTTTTCTTTCTCGGTATAGTCTCTATAGACCAGTCACATTTTTTTTCTTTTTCGACCGAATTACAAATGACGTACGCCCAGAAGACTAGGGCACTGGGGAATCGTGATCCGGCGTTATCGCGCTCCGACGTCGGGACGGCGCCGCTCCACCCCACTGTACCTTCCCGACACACAGAGAGCCTAGAGGAGTACTACGTCTTCCTCCGTTTCCGTTAACGTATCACGCCACTCGCCGAGATATGAAATTCTCGGTGCACGCGAACAAACCAGATCTTGCTCTCCGGGAGTGAGGAAAACGTCGATCCGCCGGTGTAACGAAACGACTCGAAACACGCAGCACGCCTCGAGGCCGCCTCGACTCGCCTCGACGACGTCAAAGCGACGACGAGCCGTCGACGCTGGTCTGCTCGCGCGCCGACGCGGCTCCGCAGCGTTCCTCTCGCGCAACGCGCTTACGTTTCATGCGTGCACCGGCCATTCCACGTCGAATCGCTCGACGAGCAACCTTGCCTCTCTTTTAGAGCTCGCCCAGTTACGTTCGTTCGCCTCTGTTCCTCTTCGAACAGGATCTCGTCTTTTCTCAAAATCTTCCAGTTTCACAGAGCTGCCGGACGAAAACCGGATGGTAATTGCAGGGATTCTTCGGTCGTTCGATGCTGGATTTACGTCGATCTTCAGGAACATTCGTAATACGAAGGAGTGTACATTTTTATAAATACAGAAGTGGTATTCCATTTATTCCGTTCGATTTTTAGGAGTAATTTTGCGTTTCGTTTTAGACGATTTCTGCGAATATTTTATTAGCGACGAACGAGAGGTAGAAAAATGGTTTGGATAATCAATGGATACTTAATTATCTTTTAATTGAAGGCTCGACTGAAAGAATTAACCCTTTGACCTACAATAACGTGTCAGACTCGTGGCAGAGATTCTGGCGAAGATGTGAGAAAAATTCATTGTAATCCTAACTTTCGTTTTAATTTGTAACATCAAGGATTTCTAAACGTAATTAATCTGTAACAGATCAGCTTTTGTTACCTGATACAGTACTAAAACATTAAATGGCTGACGCTTTATATCTACGTATAGTCTACAAATTAGAACACTCCATTTTTACGATGGGACGATCAAACCCTGTAGAATTTCATATTGTATTACAATTAAAAAAATGAAAATATTTTACCGAGAAGATTGTTAACCTAATAACAAGAATATTTCACCGATTCGAACTTAATATTGATTCAGTCGAATGTGCGCAAATGCTTTTCCAATGGAAGCAACAAATTCATTTTCGTCGAATTTCGTGCACAGTAGTGTACAATTCTATACTGGGTTGCAATTTCGTTGCAGCAGAACAAGTCTCTGTGATTTATAGTACGCGTTACCCTACACAATACAGATTCATGTACATATTCTGAAACAAACAGAACGATAAAACGATTTACTAAAACACTCGGAATTAGATAAGAATCGAAAGTCTTAAGCACAGAGCAGTATGAAATTCTTCAATATCAGACGAAGCTCTAGAAAAAAATTTCAAAGATGATCACAGCAATTATTTCATATTTGAAAAAAGATTCACAAACTTCGTAAATTTTTTAAATTGTAAATCAATTATTTCTTTCCACGTGAAAATTCCAAGGTATACTTGTGCAAACATAGTAATCAGTTCATACGTTTACTATAATAACATTGTCCCATTGCAAACAACGTCTTCGTATTTACACACCGAAAGATTATTTTATCCCTCTATTTGTTCAGATTCCATTGATAATCCAATTAATTCAATTGATAATCGATTAATGCGAAATATTATTAGCAATTCTGTCTCTCGGAAATGGTCGTTCTTATCGCGAGTAATCGATTACGATACTCTTAATGTTTGATAATCTAACCACTTGAAAAAAAAACGAAAAAGAAGAGAGATACTTGAATGTAAGAAGAAAACGAAGATAACCGGCGAGATAACCGATGTTCGTTCTCTCCTGGCAGCTCGTTGCGATTAAAATTAACATTTTCTATCCTGCGTCTTCTGCATAATGCAACATTGTTATCTGCGACATTATTGTCACCTATCATCGACACCGACGTTGCGTGAATCCTTGAAATACCTGGCTGACAATGCACGCCGCAAACGTCGATGATGAAAATCTCGACAGGCCGGCGTGTATGGGATTTTTCAATGCCGGAAGTGGACGAGGAAACGCGTTCGCGTATTCACACGTTGTGCTCGTTTTCCCTTCATTCACCAGTTTCTCACGCGCCTTTCCATACAGAAACTTACAGGTTTGCTGAATTAAATATAGAGGAGAGTGGTGAGTGTCGATTAATCGTTTATTCGCTCGTTCGGCAAACATGATTTTTCGCAGAAAACTGATACTGAAAGGTGAAGAAGATTTCTTATCTCTCGTGAGAACGTTCCAGAAATTTTTTCCCGCAGATTATTGAAAATTTACTTATTTTATTTACGGACATTGCGACATTCAAGAAAATACTCTTTCTTTGGGAACTTTCAAATTGAAATCTGAATTTATGTTTAATTTAAGAAAATATCCTTTTCTGGGAAATTTCAAATTAAAAGCTGAATTTATATTTATAATAATTTCAGAAAATATTCTTCTTTCGGGAAATTTCCAATTGCAATCTAAGTTTCGGGGCAAAGAAACTGTAACACTAAGAAAAATATAGTTCTAAACGTCGGTGTCGAAATATATGGAAAGTAATTCGCAGATTATTAGCGAAAATTTACGATAAATTAAGGCCAGACCGAAAAATTTACCTTTCCTCCACTTTGCTTTGTTTTTCCCATTTCAATATGGTAAAATGATATTTCTGGAAATATCAGACACACAGTAATTATCGAAACAACGACACACACTATGATTAAAAGCTAAATGAAATTATACTTACAAATATACCTGCAAACCTATGCTTAAAGTACTGAAAGAACTATCGGTTAAAACGAAGAGGAGAGTAAACACAACGATGCTAAACAGAAAATGAATATTTTTCATCACATATTTTATTTTTTATTATGGACGGAGCACAAAGCATCGTCTCTTCAAATACAATATTCATATACTGATCGTAAATACACGTTCATATATTTAACATTGGTTCGTATTGTTCTGAATTTTCCTTAATAATTGAATCTCCTGTACCAACGAGTTCTAACAAATTCGAGCACTTAATCGCTAATTTTGATTTCTCGTTATACAATCAAACAACGGTATAAATATTCAAGAGTATAATTCCCCTGCTATTGTGTGTTTGTGTACGTGTGAAAGAACCGTTAAACAATAAGATAGTACCTTGGATGAACGCCTACGATAATAAAATAAGTAATAATATCTAAAGTATACGTATACAATATTTGCATACGATACACCGAAGATAATGTAATCATTACAGATTTCTACGCACCATCGTTTATTAAACATTTAAACGCAAAGGTATATATACTCGACTGTACTTTATCTAAGAGAGAGAAAAAAAAAGAAAACATAGCCATTCTTTCTGTTCTCGTTACTTAAAGCTAATCTCTCATATTCTGTTTGATGGAATCATTTACTAACATATACATAATAGAAATAAAATAAGAAATATAATACCTAGGCAATATGTTTCTTCCTGAGATTAATTTTATCATTTCCAAGTAATACTCGTCGAAATTAATAAATACTTTTCCATTCATCTCTGTCTCTGTTATCCTACACAAATCAAATTTCCATATTGCCTAACAGTTTCAAACAAATCCGAACATTTCACGTAAGTCTTCTCCGCTCGTCACTTCAAGAATCAAACGATTAAATACATCAAAATTAAAAAAAGAAGTAAATCATCGTTCAAGAACATCGCTCAAAAGCATTAGAAAATCGTAAATTAACGTATGTAAAGAAAGGAGATCGAAACGAACCGGTTTGTTGATAACACCTCGTGGATAATACGTATAGTATAGATCCACGATATAGCGAGGTCGTAAAATCGATCAGAAGTCGAAGTAAAGATGTTCAGGGTGTCAAAATAGTCGAATTGACAGAAATGTGAGCAGTTAACCCTTTCACTGCCTTTGGTGTCTATAGGCGCTTTCAAAATTTTCTCATTGTGCCCTTGACGTCTATAGTCGCTTTGAAAATTTTCTCGCACTGTGATTTTGGCGTCTATAGTCGCTTTGAAAATTTTCTCCCACTCTGACTTTGGCGCCTAGAAAATTTTCTCACTCTACTCTTGGCGCCTATAGAAGCTTTGAAAATTTTCTCCCACTCTGACTTTGGCGCCTAGAAAATTTTCTCCCACTGTGACTTTGGCACCTCGAAAATTTTCTCACTCTACTCTTGGCGCCTATAGAAGCTTTGAAAATTTTCTCCCACTCTGACTTTGGCGCCTCGAAAATTTTCTCACTCTACTCTTGGCGCCTACAGTCGCTCTATCTCACTCTGCTCTTGGCGCCTATAGTCTCGTTGAATATTTTCTCGCACTGTGCCCTTGACGTCTATAGTCGCTTTGAACATTTTCTCGCACTGTAACCTTAGCACCTATAGAAGCTTTGAAAATTTTCTCCCACTGTGACTTTGGCGCCTCGAAAATTTTCTCACTCTGCTCTTGGCGCCTATAGTCTGAATATTTTCTCCTGCTGTAACCTTAGCGCCTATAGTCGCTTTAAATATTTTCTCACACTGTACCGTTGCCGTCTTAACTTAACAAACATACACTATGCTCCACCTCTAATTCAACAAAACGATAAATTTCGAAGTTAAAATTGTCAATTTTTTCAAAAAATTTAAAAACGTCGAAACTAAAAATTTCGCAGCCGCGATTGAACCTCTACAGTCTCAAACTATCCAGCTATCAACTGTACAGTACGAGCACATTTTTAAAGCGTCTACAGGCACCGATAGCAACGGAAGGGTTGATTTACGAGCTCGCTATATCGCGGCTCCTACTATAGGCCGCAACCGCGTCCCGCCGTGCCTAGTGTCTAAAGTAAACTATAAAAAAAAGAAGAAACAGGTGGATTGCGAGTGTACAGTTTTTCGGATATGTGTAACACAGTACTCTTTCACGTGTTAGCTTGTATCGATACTATTATGAACGAACGTTTCAATGAATACAGCGCGTTTAAACTTATTGTCTTTATGCAAATTCGCTAACGTATTTATCGTACGTTACCGTGATACACCATGAAAATTTCAAATTCGAACCACAAACGTTTCCGTACTCGATCAATTGCTGTTCCGGTAAAGATACAAACTTGCGTGAATTTTATACACGTTTCCTCTAAATGCAATAATACTCCTTTTTCACCAACCGAGCTCGGGGTTGGATAGAGAAGAACGACGATCGAACCGCGCAAAAATACGCGTCGCTGGGATAATGACGATTAACAGGAACATGGATATTTTCTTTAGACGAACATCATTGAAGAACACTTTCCGATGATAATTCTTTTGAAATCGACATTACGGTCGGTCAGCGCGTAGCAGTTTTTTTGTTCTAATTTACGAACAAATTTGTTTAGGAAAGTACGCTGCGTTGATAGAGAGAAACGTAGATGAAATTAAAATTTTAGATGTAAGAAAAGTATGCAGAAGAAAAAGTTCCACCTGTGTGTGGAAAATAGAGAACAAAATTATAAATCTGACGATCAATAAGTGAGATTTGATTTGAAAAATAGGCGAATACGTAAATTGTAAGATAATTTGTATCCGAGAGACTGGAGTAGAAATATTATACAATTATGTTTGAAACTTTTCTCTCCTTCCCGTAAAATTTTCCAATTTCTTGAAAATCCAATTTCATCCCCTTCAACTCAATGTACTTTTCACGACAAACTTGTTTACACGCTGAGATAAGCCATAATAAATTAGTACAATTGCAAGTTCACTTACTATCAATCGGTTCGACAAATTTTCGATAATTTCTACAACATGTCCCAGTTAAATGCAAGTTATTCTATCTATAACAACTTATTTACCGATTTCGTTCTAATAAAATTTCTTTTCTGTTTCAAATCTGTCGCGATTTCAAGATCATCAATATACGTTTCTTTGAAATTTCGTAACCACATAACCGCGTCTGTGTTAATTTAATTATAGCGTGCACATATAAGCTGATAGAATTTTGCACGATAACAAACAAATACATTTCGCTATATTTCAAATAATTATTCTACAAATATCCTACTTTTCTGCGTGCGTTATACGTACTGAACAAGAAGATCGTTACTTTGAATATCTAATTACGAATCTTTAACAAGAGATTCCCTTTCCCAACAACAAGTGTTTTTTTTTTTGGTTTTCTTTTTTTTTTTATATATTGCAATTAAGAGCAATCATCGACGTTACATAAAAAATAAGCGTTTTACTAATAGTTCCATTATTTCCTTCTCACGGAAACGTTTGATGTAATTTAATGATTGCATTATACTATCTAAGGAACATTACTTTTCTTTCTTCTTCAGCATTATATAGTTTGCTTATATCCGAACGATGGGGTTGCTTTTGAGCGGTACGCTTAAAAACACTGGAGTCAAATTTATCCTTCACTATCTATACGTAATACATATGTAACAATAAAACTACCGATTGAAGATCAACAAAACGCGATCACTTTTGTTTGTTTTTTTTTTGTTTTTTTTTTTTAATACTTAAAGGTACTTCAATCGAACTAAATAATTAAATGTAACTGGAATTTTGATCAGCACCTGATCAGTACCGAACGATACATCAATACATATATAGCAATAATAGTATCGAATATTCATGAATTATTTAACCCTCTATGCATCGACAATATGTACGATTAAACAAATATACGAACGTAATTATTAACAATAAATATCATAAATTATTAGAGGATACAACAAGATTATATTGAAAATTCATGAAGCTTTTAATTATCCTTTGCCTGAAAGAATGGTATATATTTCATTTGAAATATCTGTTGTATATTTACTGTGTTGTTTAGTTTATACACATATCTTATATATATATGTATGTATGTATGTATATTTTTCTTACATTGACATCATTAACTGCAAGATCTTATTTATCATGTATAGAACTCAAGGTTTATTCTGAAGAGGAATGAGCCAGTACTAGATGTAAGAAAAGTAAACAATGTAACAATAAATGCAGCACAGTTGTGCAAAATAAATGAAACATAGAGGATTAAACAATATGTCATTCTGCAAAAACATGTACATATATGTATATGTATGTAGTATAGTACTGCTATTATTTCGACAAAGAGAAACAATTTATCTGCCTTTTAACATGTATAGAGTAACTAGATATCTTTGACTATTTAAACAGTGATTATAACTATGTACTTATTCATGTATTATTATCTATAACTTCTTCTTTAATACAGTTATATTTTAACGTAATGAAAACATGATTTTAATTAAAAAGCTTAATTTCAATTCATTAAGTTCTCTGCAGTACCATACTTTTAAATATACTTGATAAAGCTTATGGTAAATAGTGTTCTGGAATGTTGAAGCTGTGTTGTAACAGTACACCACTTACATTAAGCAGGATATATTGTTTAGGAAGTATTATCCCAGACCATGGTCCTCAAAGAACCCTTGTGGAGTTTCCTCCTGAAACATATGAATAGTATTGTCAAATTAAAGATCTATACATCCGGTACATCTAAGGATATGAAGAGGGATCAATTTCTTTGATGCTGCACTTTATCATATAATGCAAATATACAATAATGAAAATATATAAACAAACACGTACCTAGTTTGTAATTAAGTAATCTCCTTGATGCAGCTTCAAATGGCGAACTGAACCCTTTTCATATAACTGAGTATATACTTGTATGGATACACAAAGCTGCACAAAGCACACGTTTATTTATTGCTTCGTTTAAAATGCTTAAGCATCAATCAAAGAAATGTCTGTATTGCATGCTGCATACAGAATATCTCTGCACTTATAGTTAAATACATATTGTAAACTTCAAAAAGTTTAATAAAAAACCATCCTAACAAACAATAAATAAATAAGAATTCTAATGATAATTTTATTTTAAATAGGATTAATTGAAAAAATATCTTATTAAGACCTGAAAGGATAAATACAGTAGCAGTAAATACATAAATGGGTTAATTACATGGAAAAGGTAATATATAATTCTGTATACAATTATATAAAAATTCCTTTGTATACATTTATTATGGGTATTATTACTGTTTTAAAGTTATAATATTAAAAATTGACACTGTTTATGTATATACACATTTACATATATAAAAGTGACACCTCCAACACGTCCATCTCTAATTAAATACTAAAATAAATACTTTCAAGTAAACAGATATAATGAATACTATACAACATGTAAGGGAACAACTTTTTATGCAATTAAAAATGGTGTAAACGTTGTTCAAACATTGTTCTATGTTCACATAAAAAAATAATGTTTTGAAGTGTTCTAAATGTGCATTTATTGCCATAGTACGGAACTAACTATATTATCTGGTCAATGAAGAACTGAAAAGCAACCTTGTAACTAAAAAGAATTTCTATGATATATATGATATATATCATGTCATATGTATCATATATATGTATAATGAGCTATATATATTACTGTTTATCTATAAGTGTTATAACACTCATCTATATAAAAATATACTAATTCATATACTAAATTTGTAAGGGTTATCAGTGGTACGTAAAAAATTGATGCTCAATAACTATAGAAAAAGTAGAGATGTATGATGGCATCATGCAGCGGGTGACTCTGCTCCAGATCCTGATTCATGTGGGCTGTCAGATTGGCCATGGAGGGCATGCAAGAACGCAGCACCTACAAAAGCCCTATCTCCCGCAGGGCACCTTCCACAGCTTCATCCTTCCACAAACAAACAAATATTCTAACTAATCTTTAGTGTATTTCTAGATGTGTCCTTAGTAATGGAACAATAATGATGAGCTAAATCTTATTACTAAATTATATATTACAAAATATATTATCAAAATGTATAGAATACATTGTAAAATATTCTAAAAACTGAAGTTGAAATTAAAATGTTTGTATATGAAACACTTTATTACACCATTTGAATTTATTAGCAAATGAAATTAAATCAAGAAAAATAATAAGAAAAAGCATGTTGCTGAAATAAACATGCATTTCTATACTACTGACTACAAATCTTATACCCATTTTCCTTTTTATACTTTGTTGTTTCCTTAACTTAATATTAAAATAGTTTTTCTCTACAATACTTAAAGTATGAAGAATATTCGTTAAAGTCTAACTTTTTAAAATTATTTGTACATTCTTATATTTTATGATATAAGCACAGCAATTTTATAAAACTGGCTGTTGAAACATTTTTTACAATATTTAGCAAAGCTAATAAGGTAAACATTTTGCAATTTCAACATAAAATGTTTTATAAAAATATCACAAAATATAACATTTGTTTTAGGTAACAAATATAATTACATTAAAAATATATTTTTACCTGGTAGAACAACCTACAAACCAATGGTACCCATTGTTTTTTGTCATTCTTAGAGTAATGTCTTATTGAAATAAGACATATATACTATAAATCTACAAAAGAAAAACTGCTTTCACGTAATTAAATTATTTAAAGAAAAAATAAACGTAAGTACGCGATATAAAAACTTATTGTAAATCTTATTCAAACTATATAGATCACAATCAATAACATTACATAAAACCTCAATACAATTAACCATGATTAATATTTATTGCAATTTAAAAGTATATACATACATTTCAGTAACTACTTATAGACAACAGCATTTCCATAGCACTATATCCTTCAAAGTAAAGTAAGTAATCTTGTAAAAAATAAACACTTAAATCACATTATTATTTTCAATAAAATAAAAAGAATAAGTTCTATATTAACTACAGAAGTTCTTTTTTTGTAACATTATGCCATTCAATGCATGCATAGCAACAAAAATTAAAACAATAAAATATTAATTTCTGATATCTAGAAAAATTATTTCAAAAGAAGATAAGTCAATTTCTTTTCAATTCATAGTATTTTTCGCACTTTTTCCACAACTTGTAACAGAAAATAAATAATGTTTTTGATAAAAGGCACACAATATCATTATTTATATTATGACATTTAAACATAACTAACTTTGTGCTAATGACATTTTATTACAGAAAATTAATTACTATACTGTTCTTAAAAAGTTTTTATGTAACAACTTTCATCAAAGTGTTTACAAAGAAATATAAAAATTTGTACAGATGAGATACAATAGTTTTCAATCTATTTAAATGCAATAATTTTTAAATAACTCTTACCAATTTTAAAAATGATATACTTGTATTACTTTTTACATATTCAAGTTCCAGTAACATAATGTACATAATTATTATGTAATGAAAGATGTTTAATATAGATCAATAAATTTTTTTCTGCATAGATTTCATAAAATTACTTTCTTTTTCTTCAAAATTACACATGAAATAATATAAATTTCAGTGTCAATATGTTACATAACAAATATACATAAATGTACCTTGTACACATGTATAATTAAAATTTGAGTTTAAAAGAATCTACAATTATTATTGTAAAAAATTACAATTTGCATGAACTTTAAATTATTGATATAAAATAATTTTTATCTACTTTTATTTTGGTATACATAAAGCAACAAAATTTTTGAAAAATATTAAAAATAATTAAATAAAGTGTTTAAAGTAATAATATTTACAAAAAAATTTATTCAATACATTCTTTGTGATTTATACTCTTATTTTCCCATAAATATCTGGTGCTATAATTTTAAGAGTGAACTATTAAACTACATAATTTTTAAGTTTTCCCAAAACAATTTTTAAACAGAGTGAATTTAGTTATTTTCAACTTAAATTTTGCATGTTTAAATCAACACTTATACTTTTATATTTATAAGATACAAAAAGGAATGTATTCCTTCTATATGCTGATGAAAAAAGTACTAAATGATGATAAATAATAAATTTTTAAAATATTCTACTTTACAGAAAGAAAGTAACTCTGTTATTGATATTATGCATTATCATTATTTCAATAATATTATATATTAATTATATTATAAATAATTATAAAATATATGGTAGTTGTAACATTTTACATATCAGTATTTCTCTAAAAATAACCAACTATTGCTTGCTCATTTGATATAATTGATTTATTATATTTTAAGAAATACTACTGTAAAGGAACTTTAAAATAAAAATAATATCATATCGTCATTAATTTAGTAAATTATGCCACAATACTGAATACAATGTTTAATGTGAAAATGATATGGCAACAGTTTTTTATAAATTTAATTTTGTTACTATAGATATGCTGTTGCGTACATTAAGAATAAAAATTCACAACACATGTAAGCCCACTTACATTAGTGAGAGAATAAGCATATAAGCATTCTATGCACACAGCATTAGCTACAAAAAAATTAAAAGTTACAATATTTTTAAACACGAATTATATCTAGATTCATCTATATATGAAGTTTTACTTAATATTACTGGAAAAAATGAGCTGACACTTTTTGTGCTTTTCTGACTATACAATATATATAACTATAATGATTTTATGACACATTAAATTGGAAAAATGAATCATATTCATGATTCATAATAATAAAGAGTATTATCAATGATTGCATGTAAATATTTATCATAACAGAGTTCATAATATGGATTTTCAAAACAAGCATTATAACAATAATAACATACAACACACATTAAACATCAATAAAAATTTTAAATACTTTATAACAAAACTACAGAAAAGAACACAACTATTTTAAAACTGTAGAAATGTATCATATATGTATATACAGCACATAAAATTTACAAAAACATAAAAAATATGAAATCAAATAGAGTATAACACATTAATATTTAAAATAAAAAAAAGGTACATTCCACCATGCAATTTAGATATTACACTGTTAATAAACATTAAAGTATCATTACAACCCATTTTTACCAGGCATTAAAGAAATGTGGTGACTATTTTCATATTACAAAATATTATTTTATATCTTTCCAGTATATCGATTCAGTTAAATACATTCTGCCTTTAAATACTCTATTAAGTACTATTGTGAATTACTCTATGTACAATTACAAAATTATACCTAATTTTATATAAATTTATATATAAATA